GACGGGGGTCCGGGGGTGAAACCCCTACCCCTACTTGGGCTGCGGGGATCCCCACGTGACAACACTGAAGGCCCTCACAGAGGTGGAAGTCACACCAGTGCCTTGGGCAATGTATCTCGCCGCTATGTCCGGAACATGTTTTCTTATGTTTTTGCTTTTGTGTTTCTTGTTCTCTTTTCTTTTTCGTCCCCTGCCAGCAAGGCAGGGTGGTTTCCACGGGAGGCAGGTAACTGCCTCACTCACGACATACTCACATCAACAATATAACTTCTGTATCAGGCCGCAATCGCAGCATAAGGAAAGTTCTTTTTTTTTTTTTTTTCATGTGTTTTCATAGGGGAAGGCGCTCGTGGAGGTGGAAGTGATACCCCAATGATTTGAGGAATGTATCTGGCCAGTATGTGTGGATTGTGATTGCTTATGTTTCAATTTTTGTTTTCCTTGTTTTGGTATCTTTTTTATGCCCTGCCAGTGAAGCAGGGCGGATTCCACATGGGGCAGGTAACTGCCTCACTCACAACATACTCACATCAGCACTGTGGCGTTCTGTATCGGACCGCGATAGCGGCATAATGGAAGTAGTTGTTGTTTTTTTTCTTTATGTTTTCCATGAGGACAGATGCCCTCGCTGAGGGACAGTCTCACCAACACCTTACAGAATCCTCCTATCCCTTAAGGAGCATTGGCCGTAGGGGAGCAAATCCATATCTATTCTTGATTTGTGATACGGTTCCTTGTCGGATGAGAATGGTGGTATCGGTTAATGAGTTAGAACGAATTATGTAGAGAATGACGTGGGTGAGCAATTCGCAGTGTTTAGTTCCTTCGGAACTCGAGCTGGGTACCATTGAGCGGTTCTCGAAGCGGTGTAGGCAGCAGGCGATGCCTTTGGAGGACTTGGTGTTTTCTGAACTGGTGACTTTCTGGCGGCTATTTTTCGATAGTAGTAGCCTTTAGGTAGTTTTTTTAGTACCAAGTCTTGCAAGATATAAAGCGGTCACTATACCGTCACAGGCACCGACAAATTGACCCCTGATGAGGCTGGTGAGCGGCCAGCCGAAATCGGTCAGGTCCACGCCTGTCGTGCCGAGCGTCTATGTGCTTCACTCTATTTTTTCAGATTATGCCGCGTTCGGGATTTTGCTTCGTATCTTGCATTGTCTTCGATTTCGTCAGTCTCTATGTCCCCATCTATCCTCTTTCGTCAGTTTCTATGTCTATCTACATGTGACGGATGCCTGTCTTATGTGATTAATCACAGTCGAAGGAAAAACAGACCTCGTCTCACGGAGTAACCGACGTAGGAATTGAACTACTGTTGAGTGGCTTCGCTATTTACTCATTGACCTTTGACATGGCGTCGAATCATTCCTATCTTCCCCCTCCCCCTCCTTCTAATTCTAGAAACTGCTACAATTGTGGTCAACCAGGGCATTTGTCTAGGTTTTGTCCTTACCCTGATAGACGGCTTACTGGTAACTCTGTCCCTTCTAATACGAGTATGGTTGTTGTGCCGGTCCAACAGCTGTTGGTGGCTGTACCTCAAGATGGCAGCTCAAACGTTGCACGCGCGTCAGGTGGCCAGTACCACGGACAGTATCAAGGTGGCAACTATCAAGGGAGCGGATGGCTGCGGAATCGTGTGTTCGCGCTAGAAGGACAGGTTGCTGAGATGAAGACTCGGCATGATGCCGAGATGGCGCGAGAAAGAGAAAAGAAGGATCAAGAAGAGAAGATGAAGAAAGAGAAGGATGCAGAGGAGAAGCGACTCAAGGATAAGAAGGATAGGGAAGACTTCCATATGGCTATTAGTGAGAGGATGACGAGTAAGCTTGACTTGATGTGTGAAATATTGCTGGGGAAGAAGGGGAAGGAGGCGGATGAGAGTGTATCAAAACTCCGGGAAGAGATTGGGGAACTGAACAGACGTATACAAGAGCGTGCTGGCCCCTCGAGTACGGCGCAAGCTACGATGGAACTCGAGGCAATGGGACACCTTCGGAAAGAACAGGAGGAGAGGTCGATGTTGGAAAAAAGGCTCTCAGCGTTAGAGAAAGAGACTTCTGAACTTCGCAAGCTCAAGGATGTGGCGCAAAAGCAAGCAGAGTTGTGGAAAGAAGAGGCACTACAACCTCGTAACAAACGCACCTGTCGTGGTATGGCTGCAACTCCTAGCCCCTGCCAGCACATTCGCAAGACCCCGGAGAAGTCAACGCAAGCGACGATGGTGAGGGATGAATATCTCAGGGGGGGTGTTGAAAGACACACGCTCGAAGTAACAGCGCTGAGACAGTCGAGGGCACGTGAATTGAATGGACGACGAGAAGCCGAGCAGGAATTAGAGAGGGTGAAAAAATCATTGGCACGATTGGAGATGGAGAAGGAATGAGGGTCTGGCACCAATCTGAAGGAGAAGATGGATGCCGTTGTGATTACCTCAGCGGCTAAAACAGGTAAAGGCAAAGTCCGCCAGAGCCCGCATGCACAGATGAACGACCGGGAGACTTTCTTGAAGGAAACCAGGAAATTCTTGAAACCGAAAAAGAAAGATGAGATTGAGAGTATGTGTGAGAAGGGGGGTATACCATACACTACCTTGAAGGAGATGAAGGAAGAATTGGCGAATCGATGTGTCGTTCTGGCATTCGACAAGGGGCGTGCAAGAGAAACGAAGGGAAAAGGAATTATTATTGAGGAGAGCAATGATACTTCGGGCGGCAACGATGAAGAAGGCCGTAACGATGCTGGGGTTGATGCCGGATCTTCGTAGTGTCCTTCCCGAATGCGGCTGTACTTTGGAAACTCGCGTGCCAATGTTCTAGCCTTCACTCGTACTCTGTTGATCTACTACGGTGTAAAGTTCTCAACACTCTTTTCTGTTGTGTTACGCTTCAACTTATTCTATTGGGTCAGATTCATTGGGGTTGTAAGTTGATTGATCATGTGCAATTGCTTGTGTCTCAAAAGTTCGACTTCGAGACGTGTAATGGACCTTTGGTTTATGCTCTTATATCACCTTGGAGTCGGCATATGTATGTTGGTAGCACCTCTCGTGATTTGTTTACTCGTTGGGGTGAGCACGTCTATCGTATTAATCATCCTGTTAGGCAGGGTGGAAGACGAAGGAATGAAAAGGTGTATTGTTGGTTGCGTAGACATGGGGCACACAACTATGTTCCGGTACCTCTGTGTAGGTGTGCAGTGGAGGATCTCGATGCGTGTGAGAGGTTTTACATTCGGTTGTTCTCCTTTGCACTCAATATCTGTGATAAGCGTAGGAAATCGAAAAGACAGAGGCCGGGACTTCGGGAGAGAAGACGGCGGAAGCGGAATAATGAAGGGAAGAGTGATGTTGACGCTTCGATGAATCGATCTCTGGCATGCTTCCACTCATTTGTAGGGATCGTGTCGAATAGCCTGATTAAGATTTTTAATGTATGTAGAGATCAGTCTGTTAGCAGTTGTGTTGTGGTTTGCTACGGTGGGAAGTCCCTGGTGGACAACTGGAAGGTGTTGAAACGCATGTACAGAGGGTCGATTATTTCTTGTGAATTCATGTGTGGAGAGTTACGACACTTTCGTGAGTGGATTACGAGTGGGGGTACTTTGCTGTTTACGTCTGTGGTTCCATTTATGCAACGTGCTTTGTCGTTAAAAAAACCTCTTGCTGCACTCCTTAGTGCACCTCGAGAACAGGCGCTGATTAATAGTTGGAACTTGAACGATCTGATCTATGCTTTCAATACTATTCGTACATTTACCGAAAAAAGAACGAGGTCGCGTACGAGACTGATTCTCTCCAATGCTATACGGAGGCGGTTCAATATTCAGGTTAGGCTACGGCTTGTTGTGTGTATTGTGTTTGATGATTCTATTAGTAAGTGTGTGGTGCGGAGGATCTGTGCACGTTTGGTGAGCACTTTGGACATCGCAGAAGGATGGAAGTAGATTTTGGTTTGAAGAATGCGAATTGTATGGAAGCGCAATAAAACGGTGGGAGATCTAATTCACAACTATCGCCACCAGTCTCGATTGGAGGAGGTGCGATGCACATGTGTTGGTGTCTCGTCCAGTCTCCCGAGAGTAGGGGAGCATGTATCTTTTCGGATTAATGACTGCAGTATATTCCCGACATGGATGCAGAACTCTCGTAACATCCTACGACCGACTCAACTACGATATTGCGCCAACTTGAGAAGGCAAATTCTTTTTGCATTCCAGAATATGAACTCGCTTCCTCCTATCGATAATGGTGCCATTGGGATGGAAGAGCTTCGACCGTGTTTCAAATTGACTTTCTCCGTTTCTTCTTCTTCTTCTTCTTCTTCTTCTTCTTCTTCTTCTTCTTCTTGCCTTCCTCCTCTAGTTCGTCCGAGCACGGGGGTGATGTGAAATCGGTTGATGATATGGGTCTGTATCTCAATCTTCTCGAAGGGTTGGTTTGCTGTCCGTTGGATCACAATATGGGCGATACTTACGGTTGTTGTCCGGTTGTTTATCGGAGAGGAATGAAGCAATTGTTTCTGAATAACCCCTCTTTGACTCACTGATGACGAGCCTACTATCTTGGTGAAGTGTAGGGCTGAATACGATAAAAGAGAATTGTCCAAGGTGGGCAAATGGGATGGGAATGGCCAGCTTGGACGATCGTACTGTCTTCCCAAGCACAAGGACGTGAGCCGATGGCGGCCTATTTGTCCTTCTCACATGAATGCTCTAGTATGGGGGGGAAGCGAATCTCCCAAGCAGTCAACCTGCTCTTGTGAAAGCTTCCTGTGGAAACCAACTTTAACTTACGAGCTACAGGAGATTTGATATCGAGAATCAAAGGAATCAACAAAGATGTGTGGAAGGGAAGTATGTTACTTGGTGCCTCATTCGATATTAAGGAGATGTTTTCGAACCTCTCGCATCAATCTATCTTGAATGCTTTAATGTGGGTGATTGATTTTTGGACAGTTGAAGGATACAAAGGTGTGTTTGTGCGCTGTCTGGGAAAAGCAGCTAAACTTGTGAAAGGGCGTAGCGAGGATGGATGGAAGTTTCTGTCATTTGAGATAATTTTTTCTTTTGTGCAGTTCGAGTTAGACAATACCTTCGTGATGGCGTCTGGGTCAGTGTTTCAGCAAACAGTTGGCATCCCGATGGGTAAGTCGTCAAGTCCGGCTTTGGCATGCTTGCTGTGTGCCTTTAATTAATTTTTTTTTCTTTCGTCTTTGGGCGGAGATCAGAGACTGCTACGAGGATTTAGACTTGTTGACGACGTATCTGTCTTCGTGATTTGCAGTCAAGACAATGAGTGTTCCAAGGAAAAGGGGCGAAAGCTTCTTGAATCTTTTGCTAATTGCTATGATGATAAACTTGTTCTTGAGCGTACGAGCGCTGACTGTTGTTGGGACTTCCTAGGTTGTGTTCTCAAAATTTGTGATAATTCTGCAGGGCTTGTCTGTATGCCACTACATAAGAACCAGCGTGGAGGTGTAGGTGGGAAGTTGTTGTTTCAGAATATCCAAGACTATTTTTCCTTCTCAAGCCGGCAGCCGAAACTTGCAGTTATCGGCTCCTTCTTCGATCGTGTTAAACTGTTTAATACCGTACCTGGGTCTGAGCTGCCTTTTCTTTTCTCCGTGAAGGTGGAGCTATGGAAACGGAAGTACCCTGCTGATCTCTTTGACAACGCCTTGATCAATTTCTCTAGGAAACACGAAGGAGTGTGGGATGACTGGATTTCGTTGTTGACTGGACGGGGACGCAGGTAGGATTTTTTTAACTACTATGGTAGCACGATGTTGGACGAGTGTGGGGAGAATGAATTATGTTGTTGACCGGTTGCAGTTGTGTACTAGGGGGTCGAATACTAATGCCTTCTTTTTTGTCGGTCTATTTGTTTTTGGACTAAGTTTCGAACTGTCCACCTGAAGATTAGTGGTAGGTATCTGGTTTGTTTGTTTGTTTTTTTTTTTTTTTTTTTTTTTTTTTTTTTTTTTTTTTTTTTTTTTTTTTTTTTTTTTTTTTTTTTTTTTTTTTTTTTTTGCTTTATGTTGTTACTTTTTTTCCGCCCTGGTCAATATGGAGCTGGGTTTTCAAATCTGTATCTATCCTTGATCTGTGATACTGTTCCTTGTCGGATGAGAATGGTGGTATCGGTTAATGAGTTAGAACGAATTATGTAGATAATGATGTGGGTGAGCAATTCGCGGTGTTTAGTTCCTTCGGGACTCGAGCTGGGTACCATTGAGCGGTTCTCGAAGCGGTGTAGGCAGCAGGTGATGCCTTTGGACGACTTGGTGTTTTCTGAACTGGTGACTTTCTGGCGGCTATTTTCCGATAGTAATAGCCTTTAGGTAGTTTTTTTAGTACCAAGTCTTGCAAGATATAAAGCGGTCACTGTACCGTCATAGACACCGACAAATTGACCCCTGATGAGGCTGGTGGGCGGCCAGCCGAAACCGGTCGGGTCCACGCCTGTCGTGCCGAGCGTCTATGTGCTTCACTCTATTTTTTCAGATTATGCCGCGTTCAGGATTTTGCTTCGTATCTTGCATTGTCTTCGTTTTCGTTTGTTTCTATGTCCCCATCTATCCTCTTTCGCCAGTTTCTATGTCTATCCATATGTGACGGATGCCTGTCTTATGTGATTAATCACAGTCGAAGGAAATACAGACTTGGAGGAGGTCGATGGTTCGCTCCACTCCGAAATCGGGTTGAACTTTTGGCGAGGCCCGGCTGATGAAGGGGGCGTGCAGAGTGGTGTGTGTAGCGAATTGTTCACAGCGCGCCAGGAAACGAGAGAGCGCGCCCATGGGGAAGGGCGGCGGCGGGCGTAGATGCGAGGGAATATCTCGAAGCGGCCGCCGTCGATAGGCGGGCAGGGGCCGTTTTTCCTTCTTTTTTTTTTTTCGTCGGGACGTCAGTTTGTCGTTTCGTTTTTCATTTTCTTTTTCGTCGGGGCAGCAGTTTGTCGTTTCGTTTTTTATTTTCTGCGGGCATGGCCCGCACCGCCCGCACCGCAGGGGCTTAGCTAGTGTATCTGATGGCTACGACGGTGTTAGGGAAGTTTTTGTTTTTTTTTCGTCTTCTTTTTTATTTTATGGGAGGGTTCTTTTTCAGATGTAGTTGCCGTGACTACCAGAAAAGAAAATACGATGGGACCCAGTCTCGGCAAAACTTGGTACGCAGTGAAAATTACGCTTGGCAAAAACAGGATCCGAAGTAGTGGTGATTTAAGGGGTCCCGATGATCCCCCATTCAGATGTGAAACCAATCGGAGCAGATGCTACACTTGATCGTTTGGGCTCTCTCTCTCTCTCTCTCTCTCTCTCTCTCTCTCTCTCTGTGTGTGTGTGTGTGTGTGTGTGGCTTGCGCACACATGCATTTTTTTTATTTTATTTTATTTTTTATTTTATTTTTTTTCCCTGAGGGGTCCCGAATCCCGATGGG